CACTGTCCCCCCCCACCATACCCTGTCCATACACTACCCCCCACCATACACTGTCCCCCCACCATACCCTGTCCATACACCGTCCCCCTCCACCATACCCTGTCCATACACTATACCCCCCCACTGCCATATGCTGTTCATACACTGATTTCCCCCCCACCTGCCACCATATCCTGTCCATACACTGTTATCCCCTCCCCCACCCCCACTATGTCAGCAAATGGAAGGATTCTTGGGCTTCTTCCACTTCATGTGGCTGGTTTCTAGAAACTCACCCTGGCATTGGGTCTCACGCTCAGTTTCTTGTCCCTTCTGTTGGTAGAAGACAGGAATACTGTTATTAAAAAAGTCCCCAGCACTTAGGAGGCAGAGGCAGAGGCAGGTGACTCTCTGAGTTTGATACTAACTTAGTCTACATAGTGAGCTCTAGGCCAGCCAGAGCTACATAGTGAAACCCTGTCTCCAAAAACCAAACCAAAACAACAACCAAAAAAATCAATGAGAATAGGTCAATGACAGTGCTTTTCAGAGGATTTGGAATAGCAAGCATTCACTCATTAGTGTTATAATTAAGTTCATAGACTATTAGCAACTTGGGGGTACTTTTATCAATAACCCAAATTTACAGTTTTATACTTTACAAAGTATTTTTTTCAGATTATTTTATTGGATCCTTCCATCTCTCCTAGGAAACAGGTCCTTACTGCTGTGCCCATTTTACAGATGAAAATAGGCTTGTAAAACTAAGCAATTAGACTATAATTAGCACTATAATAAAATACCTGAGCAAACTCACCTTAAAGGAGCTGGATGTGGTGGTACATACCCTTAATCCCACCACTTGGGAGGCAAAAGCAGGCAGGTCTCTGTGAGACGGAGGCCAGTCTAGTCTACATAGTGAGTTCCAGGCTAGCTGGGGCTATGGGGAGACCCTGTCTCAATAAACAAATAAATAAACAACAGCAACAACAACAACAACAACAAAATCACCTTAAAGGAGGAAAAGTTTATCTTGGCTTACGGTTTCTGAGGCTTTAAGTCCATGGCCAGCTGACTCCATAGCTTTCAGGCTGATGGTCAGGCAGAAACATAATGGTGGGAAGACATGAGAGAGAAAAGTTGCTCAACTCATAGAGGCCAGGAAGCAGAGAGAGACACGGGAAAGGTCTTGGAACAGGATAACCCTTCAATGGCACAGCCCCAGTGACCCTTCTGTCTAGGTCAAATTTCCTGATAGCCTATTCCACTATGAAGTCATCAATGGCAAGGAGCTGGATGTGGTGGTACATACCCTTAATTCCACCACTTGGGAGGCAAAAGCAGGCAGGTCTCTGTGAGACGGAGGCCAGTCTAGTCTACATAGTGAGTTCCAGGCTAGCTGGGGCTATGGGGAGACCCTGTCTCAATAAACAAATAAATAAACAACAGCAACAACAACAACAACAACAACAACAAAATCACCTTAAAGGAGGAAAAGTTTATCTTGGCTTACGGTTTCTGAGGCTTTAAGTCCATGGCCAGCTGACTCCATAGCTTTCAGGCTGATGGTCAGGCAGAAACATAATGGTGGGAAGACATGAGAGAGAAAAGTTGCTCAACTCATAGAGGCCAGGAAGCAGAGAGAGACACGGGAAAGGTCTTGGAACAGGATAACCCTTCAATGGCACAGCCCCAGTGACCCTTCTGTCTAGGTCAAATTTCCTGATAGCCTATTCCACTATGAAGTCATCAATGGCCTAATCCACTGATGAAGTCAGGGTTCTTGTGACCTAATCTCCCCTCAGTTATACTACCAGATGAGCCTCAAACCTCATAACCAAAGCATAGTACTAAGGAACTTGCTTAAGGTCTCACTGAGTTAAACAGGTCAGTCTTGACTTGGGTTTTTTGATGGCCTTAGTCTACGAAAGACCAGCAACCAGAAATCCTTTGTCAACTGAAGCAGTGAACAGGAATGACAGTGGTGAAATGTATCTGGGTTACAAGTAAAGCCCTGTATATAAGTTCAACAAAGACAGAGGGATGGGGAGCTACGAATGTGCACCCTTCAGCTACATTATTAAAGTATACAGAGCCAAGTATGGTGGCACATACATGTGAACATAGCACTCGGGAGGCTGAGACCAGAGAATCAGGAGTTCAAGATCAGGCTGGGAAGATGGTTTAGTGGATACAGTACCTGCCACACGAGGAAGAACAGCCTGAATATAGATACAAAATGCAGGGTGCAGTAGTATATGCCTATAATCCAGCACTGGGTAAGCAAAGTCGGAGGGAACCCTGGGGCTTACTGGGTGACAGCCGAGGAAAACTGACAAGCTCCAGGTTCAGTGAGGGACCCTGACCCAAAAAATCAGGTGAACTATTGGAAGAAGACATCCAACATCAATCTTCACTTACACGCACATGTATGTATGTAACCTTGTAACTCTCCCCATCCCCACACACAAAGAATTCAAGGTCAGCCTGAGCTACATAGCAAGAGCCTGTCTCAAAAAAGTCATAATAGGCGGTTAGGAGATATAGTTCATCTGCTAGAGTGCATAGAGCTGTGGGTTTGATCCCCAGCGCTGCATAAACTGGGTGTGGTAGTCCATGCCTATAAATCCCATCCCATCATTCCAGAGGTGAAAGCAGGTGGATAAGAAGTTCAAGGTGATCTTACCTGCATATGAGTTGGAGACCAGCCTGGGATACAGGAGACACCTTCAAAAACAAGCAAGCCTGGTGTGGTGGCATGCACCTTTAGTCCCAGCACTCAGGAGGCAGAGGCAGGCAGATCTCTGTGAAAACAAAGCCAGCTTCATCTATATAGTGAGTTCCAGGCAAGCGTAGGCTACATAGTGAGTGAGATCCTGTCTCAAAAAACCAAACTGAAACAAAAATCCACGTAATAATAATAAAATACGCGAAGTTCTGCTCAGAGCTGATGACGATGCCATTTGTACCATGGTGGTCTTCTCTGGCTTGAGCCGCCTTCCTTTGAGGAGTGTAGCTGAACTGGAAGGTTTCCAAAGGGATGGTAGGCAGGTGGGAGGAGTAGGGGATAATCAGAAGAGGAAGGAACAGAAGCAGAAGCAACTGTTGGGAAATCTAAGTCAGAAAACAATCATGCAGGCAGGAGAATGACTGCTTCAGTAATTTGAAGGGCTAAGAAAGAGACGATTTATTTTTCTTCAGAGAGTAATACAGTTTCCTCTGGGCTGCTTTAGGCTAAACTCAATTAGATCGGGCTGTTTCTCAAGGAGAGAATGCTCCGTACTCTGGAAGAGCTGGACAGGCATCAGTAGTTCTCAAGCTCTCATGTAATGAATGAGTCACCTGGGAGTGAGCAGCCTGTCAGCCTGTTCTTTTATGGTCTTTTTGAGACAGTCTCCCTGTGGCCCCAGCTGGCCTGGAACTTGCTATGTAGACCAGGCTGGCCTTGAACTCATAGAGATCCACCTGCCTCTGCCTCCTGAATGCTGGGATTAAAGGC